GTAATCCATGATTGAATTTTTATTAATCCATGATCGAATTGTTTTTTTCTTTTTTTGTAATCCATGATTGAATTTTTTGTGTTTTTTTGTAATCCATGATCGAATTTTATGTAATCCATAATCGAATTTTTTGTAATCCATGATTGAATTTTTTGAAAATTTGTGATTTTTTTTTTTAATCCATGATCGAATTTTTTTTTGTAATCCATGATAGAATTTTTTGAAACTTTGTGATTTTTTTTTTTAATCCATGATCGAATTTTTTTTGTAATCCATGATAGAATTTTTTGAAAATTTGTGATTTTTTTTTTAATCTATGATTGATTTTTTTTAAAATTTGTTATTATTATTTTTTAATCCATATTATTCAAAGAGAAAATGAGAGAGATGATGATTCTGAGGCCACCCTATCCCAGCCATATTATTCACATATCGAGTCCCAACAGCAACAGTGTAGGGATGAGCACGACAGTGCAGGTGAGCATGAAGGATGGACAATCTTCGGGGATTTTAGATTTGGAACACAACAAAGCACTAACACTCAGAGATTTGGGAATAGTAAGATGCCTGCTAATATCGATGATTCGTTTTTAGATCGAATCAATGAATTGTTAAACAAATTCAATCAATGGCACCAACGTGACCAAGAAGAACAATAACGTCATCTATCATTTTATTTTTAGATCATATGTTACTAATTTTATGCTTTATTGTAGTCCATGTATGTTGATATACTTATTCCATGATAATTCTATATTTATCTTTTTGTGTGATGTAAATTAACTGCTGAATGGTGGTTCATGCAGGGAAAGAACATATCAATATTCGTATATTCATTCAAAAACATGAAAATTCTTAATGGAGTACCCTCATTTCTTATTGAATTTCTAAAAAATAATATTTATAATGAATTTTAATAATTTTTTCGGATTTTTTTTAAGCTATATTCTGACCGATTCACCCGATTCTCGATCCGGATCGCCGATTCGTCGATCCGGATCGGTTTTTTGGAAGCCCGATCCGAGTCACCGATCCGTTTTTTAAACCATTGGTAAAAACCCTTACATCAAATAATCAAAGAAAAACATATAAAAGAGACCATCAATATTCAATTATGATCAAAACGAATACCATTTTTTATGCCCCAAAAGTGAAACAAAACAAAGGGCACTATTATGCAGTCATGTAAATTTCCCAAAACCAAATAGCCACACTATCGCATTACATCTTCTCCTCCTAGCTCTGTCTAGCACTGGCATGACCGTATGAAGTAAAACAAAAGGCAGTACTAACAGTTATATAAATTTCCTCACAGACGCTAAAATTTACAGCTAAAAAGCAAAATTAACTCAATAGATCCTCATGTACAAATTTCTAGTTCTAAAAAAGACCTTAAATTTTTAGTTTTTAAAGACCCTAAATATCACAAAAACAAATTGTCATGCGTATCAACTGTGAAATCCATAAAATAAACCCTAAATCGACATTATATACTCAAATAAACCTAAAATCAAAATCTTATACAATCTAAATTTCTAAAATTGACCTACAAATTATAATATCATACCTTCACTACATATAAAAAATCCGTCAAATGCCTTCAAAATCCAAAAAAAGCGATCAAAATCTGTCAAAAACGTTTACTTGAAATATAATCAAAGCTATAGGGTTGGGTTTCTTATGAGAGAGAGAGAAATAAAGAGAATTGCAGAGAGTAGAAGTTTTGACCAAAATGTTTGCCCACAAAGCAAGAGTTTGGAAATGGAAAGGGATGTACACATAGTTAAAAGGATGGGGCCATTTTTCGTTTTTTAAAAATCGAAATCAAGCCCATTTCAATTTTTGAAAAATTGAAAATAGTTAGTTTCATTTTTTTTACAAAAATTGTCATGAAGTTTAAAAAACGAACATTTGTGTAATAATGGAAAGTATTACGTATTTTCGTAATAACATAAAATAAAAAGATAT